GAGAGAAGTGGACAGAAGGTGATCGTCGGTGGTTGTTGGTCAATATTTGACGGGTACTCCGATCGAATCGGAGCTTCGAAGCGGTGCTACCAGGCGGCAGCCGTGGTGCGGTATCATCCGATTCTTCATCTATCTATCTCTCTTTCTCATTTTACATTGCTCGCTCGACTCGCTCGTGCACGCACCTTGGAAGAGCGAACGCGCACCTGTGTCAAGCGCAAACACTCGCGAGGCGTCGCGGACGCACAAGCGTGTGGAAAAAAGTGCTACGAAAAAGTACGAGAGAATTTCATCCGGTTAATTTGAAATAGAAAAAAGAGGAGGAAAGAAAAATTTCGAACGAAAAGTTCTAAAACGAAAAATTTCGAAAGGGAAAAGGAAAGGAAAAAAAAATTTGAAAAAGAAACAGAGAGTGAGAGAGAGAGAGAGAGAGAGAAAGATAGAGAGAGAGAGAGAGAGAAAGAGAGAGAGAGAGAGAGACTAGGAGATTTTCCAGAAGAAGATAAAAAAAGAATAAGAGAGAGAGAGAGAGAGAGAGAGAGAGAGAGAGTAAAAGTGAGAAAAAGATAATTTTCAAGAGATCTCATTCGGAGGGAGAGCAAGTTCGACGACTCTCGTTGTTCATCTTCTATCCTTTTCTAACGAAGCCGTCACAAACGTGAGTAACATTTTCTTTTTCTTCTCTTTTTTCTTCTTTTTTTTTTTCTTTTTCTTTTTTTTTTTCTTTTTTTTTTTTTTATTATCATTATTAAAAATTAAGCAAGTGAAATAGAGATTCTCGAACGTCGAGACCACTTTCTCGACATAAATCGATATTCGTGTTTTTCGTTCTTTTGTTTTTTTTCTTTTTTTTTAAATTTTTTTTTCCCCTTTTTTTTTCTCTTATTTAACACGTCGCATTAACGTTACATGACTGGGATTCACAATTGGCCAATTTAAATCTGATATTATGCGATACATATTATATTAAAATATTATTTACAATAAATAAGTTTAGGTATATAATTTAGTTTAATATGAATTTATCTTACTTCTGGATATTTTTGTATCATAGTGGTAACGATAATGGCATTGAAAAAAAATTGATGAATAATTGACATTTAATTAAATTGTGTGTTTTTTTTCTTTTTTTCTTTTTTTGTTGTTTTTTCTTTTTTTTTTTATTAATCTTCATGTCACCGATCACCGATGATCCTCCTCATGGCATTACAGACAAAAACAATGTCGGACACCGGTGATCCCCATAGCATTCAACGTGTTAATTAGACATTGATAATAGTTCGATGGTAGGAAAGGGAACATCCACGAAAGAAATATATACGCAATGGTGCACGTGCTCCTGTGTTTATTCTTGCTCCGGTCGACGTGTTTTTCTTGTTTCTTTTCTCTTTTTTCTTTTTTTTTTTTTTGTTCTTGTTCTTATTATCTTTTCACGTTTCCCTAACTCTTTCTCTTTCCTTCCTTTTTCTTTTTATTATTACTACGATATTGGAAGTATCTAGGCGCGGAGGGGGTGGGGGTCAGGGAGCAGGGGTAGGGGAGGGGGTGGGGAGGAGGAAGAAAAAAAGGAAAAACAATCGTCACAAACGATTTAGATTTTCAAATATTACTTACAAATTTTTATTTCTCATTTTGTCAAGAGGAGGGATTATTGTTGAAAAAAAATGGAAAACATTTCGAAAGTTGGCTTCGTTTTTTCTTTCACCGTCGTCCTTGAAAAAAAAAAAGAAAAAAAAAGACTATCGAGGTCACGAATTAGAGAACGAGAACGATGCGAGATCGACGGGAAGAAAACGTCGAACGTCGAGACGCGTGTACGAGTACGAAACACTTGTGTTTTATGTATGATCGATCTCGAGCACACACTTGTGTTTTCGCGCACGAGGAAGCCTATGCGACTCAACCTAAACGCAGATTCTCTCTCTTTCTTTTTCCTTCGTCGATCTTCATCGTGATTTATGCCTCCGCACGTAACTTTCCTACTAAAATTGACGAAACGCGTTTCGAGGCATCGTCATTAGCAATCATTACGATCATTTACACATGATTATAATTTTAGATAACAAAGTCCTCGATGGTCGAATTTAAACGTGCGTAGTAATGAATTTTCATTATTATTTTCTTTTCTTTTTCTTTCTTTCTCTTTTCTTTTCTCTTTTTCTCTTTTTCTCTTTTTCCCTTTTTCTTCTTTTCTTTTATTATTATTATTATTATTATTATTATTATTATTATTATTATTATTATTATTATTACAATACATATGAGAAATCGAAGGGCATCTTTGACGATGGAAAATAACGAGCACGATCGTATCGATCGGATCGATATCATCGAAAAGAATCGATATCGTCGAGTACATCGGGTACAATTAATTTCGAGCTCGCCATTTTTCTTTTTCACGCACACTCACATAGATTTCTCTTGTATTTTTTTATATATATATATATATACACATATATATAACACTTCACATGATCGATCTCTTTTGATGAAACACATTGAAATTATAGATGACGAAAACGTTGTTACTTATTTCTCGCGTTTTCGAGCAGAGAGAAAAAAAAAAAGAAGGAAACGTCGCGTTCCTCGCGAAGTCCAAGACGAAACTATTCGACGTAAGGAGGAGATATAACCGAGAGAGCGCAGATAATATTTTATTAATCATTAAGCACATAGCCGTCGGTGCGTATAAGATAATGGGAATAATATCAGGCAATGACGATAATACTGTTTGTTGTGCACGTTAATTATTGGTCCGCGAGTTTAGTCGGGAGACGAACGCGCCCCGTCAGCAACGAGTTTGTCGTCTTTCATTTTCTTTCTATTCCTTCGAATTATTATACCTTCTCATTCACATTACTTTATTTACTGATCTGTCAATATTTTGATTTTATAAAAAAAAATATAATCGAAATATTATACCTTTTTCTATATATCTAATCGTCGTAATATAAACATAATATCGAAATAGTCATTGAATTTTGTCATAGGAGTTGTCAGTAAAGAAAAAAAAAAAAAAAAAAGAAAAAAAAAAAGAGAAGAGAAGAAAAAAAAAGTAAGATGATCGAGAATTAATCGTTCGTTTAAAATTCGTTATTAGTTTATCTACCTAATGAAAAGTTCAGACATATGCTTATTTTTGTATAAAAATATGACGATATCATAAGATCTCATGAACGTTTCATTTATTACTCGCTTACTCCGTAAATATTGTATGCGTCGAGTTAAAAGCCAATGTGTATTTTACGTTTAATTACTTTTTCTCTCTTTATCGCGAAGGAATTCTACGGGCGGATCGTGAAATCGTAAAATATTTCCTTCGAAATAAGCTTGACAAAATCGTCTTGCAAACACGAGAGGCGAATTTCTCTTTCGTACCAAATTTCGTTATTACCTTTTAAAACATAGTTTCGTTTTTTTTTTCCTTTTCCTCTGTCTGTTTCTCTCTTTCTCTCTCTCTCTCTCTCTCTCTCTTTCTCTCTTTCTCTAACTGTCTATCTCTCTTACTCTTGTAAAACATATTATCATCCTTTTCCATTTGAAATGAAAATAATTGAAGGAGAGACAATTCGTGCTTTGTTTGCACTTAATCACGTGTCGAGCAAGCTTCGAAAGGTTGTAAATTTAAACTCCTAATTGCGTCTATAAAATGAGTGAACGTAGGCGTAACCATGTCGGGAATTTAGACTCGTTAAAAACTTGGAAGAAAGTTTAATAACACGTACGGATTTCTTACGTTTAAGAAAATGTCTTCTCGATCGACGTAAAGACGTAAATACTTCATAATGATAAGAGATAGGATTTTATCATTAAATCTATTCTATCGATCCTATTTTTATCATTATCGATAATATTGTCTTGTGGGCTATTCAGTAATTATGATTATTATGAATGCGTGTGTACGTTTTTCTATTTTCTAGATTTCTTGTCTGAAAAATATCTTGTGAGGAAATAAATAAAGAAAAAAGAAAAAAGAATAAAGATAAAAAGAAGAAACTTATAAAGGAACTTTTATTTACGTCCAATTGGGCATTTTTGAAGGATCGTCGATTTTTTTTTCTTTTTTCTTTTTTTTTTTTCCTTTCACTTCTTACGATTTTAAAATGAAAAATAACTTGAGAATTGGCCTGACAAATTACGCAAGATCATTCTGGGATAACACAAAATCTTTGGACTTTCCCTTTACTCCTTCTCCTCGATCGAAGAAACGTAAAAGAGGAAGGGGTAAAAAAAAAAGAAAAAAGAAAAAAAAAAAGAAAAAAAAAAAAGAAAAAGAATAGATTTTCGCAAAGATGATAACGAGGACGTATGCCCTCGTAAATACGCACGGTATTGAGGAGCGCATCAGATTCTCATCGGGTTTGCGTTGTTCGCTGATAAGAGATTTCTACTAGAGTGATAAAAAATGGCCTCGTCGCGTTCACAACGAGCGATGACGCAAACCCTCTTCAAGCTTTACGCGTTATGCCCTTCTATTTCTCTTTTATTCTTTAACATTTTATTTTCATTTTTTTTTCTCTCTCTCTCTCTCTCTCTCTCTCTTGCTTCACTTCTCCTCTCCACTTTTTAAATTACGTTTCATTTTTTACCATCTAGATAGAGAATATAAGATGATGAAGTTATCGCGTAACCATCGTTCTTACTCTTCATTTATTTCTTCCTCTCTCTCTCTCTCTCTCTCTCTCTCTCTCTCTCTCTCTCTCTTTTCTTTCTTTTTTCTTTTCGTATTTTTCCGATCGACAAATGAATTTAATCATCGAGTCAATAACGTCGAGATTCTATGACAAAACAAATTTTCTCCCTTCGAATAAGAAACGGTGTTAAAGTTAATTCAAGATCGAAGATGGGTGAGTTTTAAGGATTTATTTCAACGATAGACTCATATTAATTTTCTTTCTTCTTGAAGAAAAAAAGAAAAAAAGAAAAAAAGAAAAAAAAAAAAAGTAAAAATTCAATAATTCCATTTATTAAATTTATTTCCATCATAACCTAGTACCTACCTAGGATCACTCCAAAAAAGAGATAATAAGAAGGAGAAGCTGATAACTCATCGAGATCACTCTCATCGATCACGAAAGGGCACCACGGTTCTCGGTGGCTTTGAAAAGAAAATCTCTATCGGGAGATTCTCAAATGCGTGCTCGCGACACCGTAATCAACCGACGGAACTTCGACAATTCGGATTAACTGCTGACGAAACTCTTTCCCCACTTTCACCGGGCACTATCGTAAAGATAAAAAAAAAAGAAAAAGAAGAAAAAAAACAAACAAAAAAAAAAAGAAGAAAAAAAAGTGAATACAAACAAATATACTCCTCTTCGGCGATCTTTTCGTCCATTTAGTTTCGACGAGTCAAACGGATCTAAGTTAAACTCGAACGTACGAAAAGTGTAAGAGGAATACCACGGCCCTACACCTTCCTGGCGAATCCGACGACTGAAATTATCATTTTAGCTGATATAGTAGCTAATGTAAGGATGCAGTTTTATCTCTTATTATCATGGGAAACGAGATAAATCGCGATAGTGCCGTTTATTTTGACAGAGAGAGCGTGTGCGGTTGTTCGTGCGCCACCTCGTCTGTTCAGCAGACCGGCACCTATGTACCTGTATTATCCTTTTTTCTATCTCTTTCATTCTTTCTTTCTCTCTCTCTCTCTCTCTCTTTCTCTCTCTCTTATTCTTTTTCTTCTTTACTTTCTTTCCTCTTTTCAACAGTCTCAATTTAAAGTTGCCAGATTTATCTTGAGGTTTCTACCTCAATGAACACTAAAAGAGAGAGAGAGAGATAGAGAGAGAGATAGATAGATAGAGAGAGAGAGAGAGTGAGAGAGATAGAGAGAGAGAAAGAGTAAGGAAAAGAGAAAGAGAGAAAGAGAATTAATATTAAAATGGTAGGGTAAAATTTAGATTATTTATATATCTTTTCAATTCTTTTCACTCTTTGAACCTGTTGGCTGTTAGTTGTAACGATAAGATGAGATTTCGATTGCTTGTAGGTATTCTCGTTAATTGCAAGATAGCGATCTTGTTTGATCGTAGTCAGATTTAACACTATCTTTGATTTCTTCATCGATTAGGTACGGTATTAAATCTAAGAGGATTTTTTTTCTTTTTTTTCTTTTTTTTTTTTTTTTCACGGATAACATAACACGTTCAATTTATTATTCATTTATTTCTTGATTTTCTTCTCTCTTTGAGCTTTTTTTTTTTTTTTTTTTAATGATATATAGAGTATGTGCTTCGAGGAAATATTCAATTCGTGCAAACGTTGATACATCGAGAATTCGTCATTAAATTCTACTGAAAATTCGTCATCGTTTGAGCTTTGCTCGTGCTTAATTTTATTTTTTACGATAAGAACAGAATCCTTATCTGATCTTGTACGTCGGTATATATATATATATATATATATATATATATATATATACATATATATATATATATATACATAGTAACATATACATATACTAATAGCTACCTATCGTAGAAACGTTTGAAGACGTCTCTTTTAGAGATTATAAAAAAAAAGAGCATCTCTTTGCGTCGATATTCTTATTTATTTATTATTAATTATCATTATAATAATTAGAATATATAATTTATTAAATGTCTTACTTGTTTTACTTTCTAAAAGAATGTCAATGAATTTTAACGAGGCATACCATTTATATTTTGTCACTTGCTGAGATCATTTGCGTAAGACAGAAATGAATCATCTCGGTCATTTTGCAACAAATCGATTTATAAATTATTTATTGTTTTCAAAACCTTTTTCTTTATACAATGAAACGTATACAAGTAACAATTTAGTGTTTATCATTAATAGAAATAATCGAATTCATCGATTTTATATGATTGAAATAATAATTTGTAAAATTCTCAAGTAGTTATTCGCGTAACCTTATCGTTTCCTGCTATAATATTTTTCGAGTTTTTTCGATCATGCTTATTCATTCTCTTTTTTTCTCCCCTTCCTCCCTCCCACCTTTTTCTCTCTGTCTCTTTACTTTGTTCGTGTGACCGTAAACGAGGCATACGTGTCGTTAGCTCTTCCCTTTGCGAGTCACCCATAAATACGTTCTCTTATCAGCAAGTCGAAATATTAGTTCGAGAACGAGCTCACGATGTTCTTGATTTCTATCGCGACGAATCCTCATCGGTATCACCGAATCGACGACGAACAGAACACGTAAGAATGAGTATCCAGGCAATGTATCGATTCTCGTCTTTAGCTGATTTCATCTCTCCGAGCAAAGGTTGTGAAATCTTTCAAAGAAAATACGTAGATATATATCTTCTACGTATTATATATCTTCTTTTCGAAAGAAAGAAAAAAATCGAAATCGTTTTATATATTTACTTTTTTTTATTTTACGATTTCGATGAGATCAATTAATTAATATGACTTTTACAAAATATTTAATTGTTCATATTCCTCCGCGTATATTACATCGAGATGATCGTTTCTTTTTTCTTGTTTCTTTTTTCTTTTTTCTCTCTCTCTCTCTCTCTCTCTCTTTTTTGTGTGTGTGTGTGTGTGTTTTTTTTTGTTTTCACTATATTTTATTGTAGAAAATTTAACGAAAAATTCTTTATTCTTACATATCCAAACGTTATCTCAACCTCAGGCATTTTTAACTTTTTATCTGTGTGACTTGATCGAGTCCCTGGATGATTGATCGATCGATCAACGAAGAAGATCGATTCGTTATAGAACAATATATGAGGGCACGTGTTATGCAAGAGACAATAAATAAAAATAAAATATCGCTACGATTTAAGTTCTATCATTGAATCCATTATAAAATTTCATTGGTCATGTGCATTTCTCCATTTAGATTATAAATTTATAAAATAGTTAAGTTTTACTTAACAAATGACCGAACGAAGAGTTATGAGTTAAAAAAAAAAAATTTCGAATATACAAATCGTCGAAAATTGATCATCTTTACGATTAATATTAATCCGTTTTGTTAATGGCATGTATCAAATGATAAATCAAATCTAAAATATAAAAAGAGAATAAAAAAAAAAAAAAAAAAAAAAAGAAAAAGAAAAAAAAGGAGAAAAACAAAAAATACGTAATAAACATCGATTTATCATGCATAACTATCGATCGAATGATCATCATCCCTTATATAAAAATTGGAATAAAAAAAGATGAAAAAATGGCGAATGGAGTTTAGCAATGATGGCTGGCATGATGTCAATGTTAACATAGTCGTCATCATCGTCATTCTCGACGACTAGGTGTCACGTAGTTACCCCTCCACATTTACTTCGATTTCATCGCCCTTCCCTCGCCCTTATCTCGTTCGTTACCAGCTTCACGAGGTGACTCGATAAGAAAAATAAACAAACGGATCCCTCCGCTTGCTTTTTTCCCTGTCCCCCGATTTTTCTTCCCCTTTTTCTCCTCCATTCCAATATGTTGCTCTCTTTCTCACAGACACGTATCCATTCCGTAGCTCTGTCTTTTTCCAATAAATACAAATACACACATATACACACACATACATTCACTTTAGGTGCTCCCAGGTCTCTGTACGTACGTCTATCCTCCTCTTTCGCTCACTCTATTTCTCTTTCTATCTATCGATTTAGTTTCTCCGTTCACTCTTCTTTTTCTTTTTCTTTCTTTTTTTTTTCTTTTTTCTCTCCTTTTTTTTTTTTTTTAAACGAAAAAAAAAACATAGGAACTTTCCTTGGTACAACTATTTGTACAAGATTTCCCACGGTGTATTTCATTCGTCGTTGAAGAACAAATTCAATTTGGAATATTACATTTCAAGAAAATTTTGTCATCGCCATCTTCTCCACAGAGTAATTTTTACCTATTCAAAGGGTTAATTTTTTTTTATTTTTATACAGATTTTAATTTTAAAGATCCTAAGGTCATCGAAATATTATTTAATATAAAATATTACAAAAGAATATTTTATATTAATATTACAAATAATTAATTAATAAAAATTAAAAATTAAAAATTAAAAATATTTAATATTAATATTACAAAGAATATTTTATATTAGATCATTAAAATATTACAAAGTCAACTATATATATATATATATATATATATATATATATATATACATATATTGTATCGAAAAAAACGAATAGATCAAACGAGCTAATAAATCGTGAAGCGTTCGTTCGTAGCAACGTATACGATGGTACATGGACAGAGACAACAAACGCACGAAGGATAATATCGGACGGAGGAGTGACCAATGAGGTGCGAGGGTCCGCCCAAACGGCTGCTCGAGTTGCTTCCTCCATCGTTTCGCTGCCTGTTGCAACGCTTTTCTCCCCTCTTTCCCTCGAATCGAATGGTAGACTGCACAATAAACTCTCTCTCTCTCTTTCTCTTTCTCGCTCTCTTTCTCTTTCTCTCTCTTTCTCTCTCTCTCTCTCTCTCTCTCTCTCTATCTCTCTCTGTCTCTGTCTCTGTCTCTGTCTCTGTCTCTGTCTTTCTCTCTCTTTTTCTTGTTCACTTAAAATCCGCCATTGCTCTGAGTCAAACAAAAGGAATAAGTGAGAGAGACAGGAATATTACTGTTGTTGAATGTTGTCGAGCAAAAAACATTATTTCCACCGACACATCCAAAAGCTCTTCAAACCATCTCTTTTTCTCACTTATCTTTATCTTTCTAACTCTCTCTCACACTCCGTATGTCGCCTCGTGCTGCACCTCGCGTTCTCTCTCTCCTCAGTTCCACTTGGTTACTCGAACGTCTCGCCAGTCGTTCTTTTCTCCCTTCTTTTTTCCATCTCTCTGTCATTCGACGACCATTTTTTATTTTCTACTTTATTTATTCGTTTTAGTATTATTATTATTATTATTATTATTATTATTATTATTATTATTGTTATTATTATTATTATTATTATTATTATTATTATTATTATTATTATTATTTCTTTATTTTTTTTGTTTTATCGAGTTTGGCGTTTTGGAAAAAAGTGGATATAACGCGCGGAATGTGTTTGTGTATGTGTGTAAAATTGAGATAGAAGGAGAGAAAGAGAGAGAGAGAGAGAGAGAGAAAGTGGATTGGTATATGGAAAGAAACGTGAATTAGAAAAGAACAGAAGTTCTTGCAGAGCAAATGCGACATACAGCTACGGAGGTAATTTTTGCTTGTTTGTTTGTTTGTTTGTTTGTTTATTTGTTTGAAAAAAAAACTTGTAGCTTTTCATTACCTTATCTCAACTAGCGATTGTGTTTTCATTATTTTACGCTTTATTGTTTAATGATTAAATGAAGTTGAAAGAATGTTTAGGATTATTTCGTTCAAACGCGCGCGTAGTACATCATTAGTTTATTGTAAATAGAAACTTTGTTTTTGTTTTTTTTTTGTTTTTTTTTTGTTTTTTTTTTTTGTTTTTTTGTTTTTTTTTTTTTTTAAAATATCATAGTTATCGAGTTGGA